GGAGCAGCAGGCCGTTGTCGTTGGAGCCGCGGAGACCGTGAGGACCCAGCACTCCCCTCCAGGCAGTATGGTCTGTGCCGACGCGGGCGTTGAAGTCACCAAGGACAATCAACTTGTCCGCCTTCGACACAGTCGCCAAGAGAGCGTGCAGGTCCTCGTAGAACTTGTCTCTTGCGGCGGCGTCGGGGTTGCTCATCGGCGGAGCGTAGGCGCTGATGATTGTGGCGAATTTGCCCCCACCCCGCAGAGGCAGACGGAGGCTCATCAGGCGATCGTTGATACCCTGCGGCAAACAGGGTAGTCGTCCCACGATGTCGTTCCGGATGGCGAAGGCGACACCCGCGTCTCGCCGCTCTGCCTTGGGTCGACCACTCCAGAAGAAGGTGTAGCCGACACCCACCTCCTCCAGTTGGCCTTGTTCGGAGAATCGGGTCTCGCTGAGTGCGGCGATGTCCACCTTGTAGCGCGCCAGTTCTCTTGCCACTTGCGCCGTCCTCCGTTCCGGTCGGTTGCTCCTCGGATTGTCTAAAAGGGAACGAACATTCCAGGCTGCCAGAGTGAGCGGGCTCACCCTGCCAGTCTGGCGACTGCGGCGACGAAAAGTAGGAATAGGAGAAGAAGAAGAATAGGCTGGAAGAGGAAGAGAGTGATTGTTGTTGTTGTTTCGGTTTTGGCTGTTTCGACCGTGTGTTTTTTGTCTGCGGCCACGGCCAGCCTACAGACAGCGTGGTTCCCAGCGATCTTTAGGGCACCTTTTCTAGCCCCCTCCCCGTCGCGGGGGCAGGCAACGCATCCCTGAACAGGGCTGCCCGGTTATCCCAGACGGCTGCCGGACTCCACTATGGGCCACGACTTTTTGTTAGTGAGAGAACGACCCGAATTAGCCTGGGACCTTGGTGGTGAGGTGATGATGTGATGGAGTGAAGTAGGAGAGAGCATACACACTGCCTAACGCTATGGGACTTAGAACTAGAGTGGACAAGCGGACACAGTCACCAGTCAGAGACAAAATGATGGCACCACACAAAGTCAGGCACCGTAACACCTAGCTATTAGTAGAGAGTGGCATAGACTGACGGACAGACAATCGCAGCAGGCATCGAGGGAGTCGTTTAGCTATTAACAGACAGACTAACATATAAAGGGCAGGCAGCAAGCGCAGCGTACGACGCGGAACTTCAACAAACAAAAGGAAGAAACAAAGCAAGCGCACTTACCTGAGGGGAAACTTACCTGGTGGCCGCCTACGATGGTCCAGGCAGAGCCTCGTCTCGACGATGTCGACGCGAAGATCCATCCGGCCAGCGCAGACCACAGTACCGCGCGTGCAGGTGCACGCACGGATACCCTCACCTGGTTTAGCCCGCCGGTCGAGACGGTTGCCCGGGGTGTGGCCGCTGAGCAGCGCCCAGCTACGTGGAGCCACAGGTGAGAGCTGAGTGCCAGCAAGTGGACGCTAGGCGTAGTCTCACCTGCAAGCAAGTGAGCGACCACTACGACCTTCACGTGAACCCACCGCTGGACACCCCTACACCCCAAACATTTAATACAGACCTAATTTATTTGCAGGAAGGTATATATTGTGGGAAGTGGAGCCACAACTCTGAGCAGCTTCGATTGGGATTTAATCGGCGTGCGACCACAGATCCAAATTACTGGTGTAGTTAAATCTACGTCCTCAATGCTGGAACATTCCGCCATAGGGGTGCCTTGAAAACTCGCTGGCTGGGGTACCTTTTCAGATCAAGTACACCGGTAGATGCGCTTAGAAAACGAGAATACCGTTAAGCATATTGATTTTTACGCGAAAATAGCAAGCAACTCAGCATGGACATTTTTCAGGCAGTACTGGGTTGTCGATTTAGAGAAAAAGTGTTCGCATTTGGGATCGTCAGCGAAAATAAGGAACCTAATGTGCATAACTGCCGAGGGAATGTAACTAATGTGGAGCAAAAACAGAGGACCTAACACAGAACCTAAGATGACACCGCTTGCAAAATGGTTCTCAATGGAAAATGAGGACCCCAATAAAACCTTATACCTGCAATCCTATAGACATGACTGAACGCAGTTAGTAAGGAAAGTGTTAAGTCTAGCGTCTCCAGTTTGACTTAGGGTCGACAGCATGAAGCAATATCGAAGGCTTTGCTAAGATTGAAATAAATAACGACCACAGGTAGATGATTGCTAAGAGGAGGAGTGAGTCGATCCAGGAGAGACGTGCGGCGCGTTTCTCAAGACCGATCGGACAAGAAGTCAGATTGGAAAGAGTTAATTACCCGATTGGCCATGCAGGAATCATTGATCTTTGTCGTAATTGTTCTTTCGACAGCTAAGCGACCGAGGGCGTTTTACGAACACCCCCATAATTTTGAACACTAGAAAGAAAGCCAGATTAAAGTATTAGAATAATAATAATAATAAAATGTTTCCAATGATCTGGAACGAAGCCAATCTTGGGAAAGATTGGAAAGAATTTGCTCGGTAGAGGGGGAAATCTCCAAGCATTCTATTTTCAGAATTCGGAAAGTTGCCAATTCCAATTGATTATGATTTAGTAGGTCAGTTTATCTGTTTCCGAACACTCGTAGGGTCAAGAATAATGACGGTTAGGAACGCATTTGAGACGAAAGAATCGAGGAGTTGAGGTTCGTTTCAAATGTTAAATGGTTGGCAAGGACTGAGTTCAACAATTCAGCCTTACCAAATCATCCGTAAAAAATTACTGCTGTAATTAAACAAATGAGGAATGGCTTCGTGGGACTCAGCCGACGGTCCGAGATGGAAGGTCTGAGTAACAGATCAGAAAGATTTGGGTCACTAAAAGTCAAAGACTCCCTTCACCTATGTCGTGTAAGACCCATTTTCGAAGTCAGTTCAGATATTTTAGCGATGTCTTAGTGAACCGACAGGGAGCTCTTGGATGGATCTATAAGATTCTTTCGTATCTTTTAGTCTGTTTGTGAGGAAGTGCGGGAAAGCGGAAGAAGGATTAAAAGTTTTCAACATCTTCAGTGGAATATAACGAGAATACTTTCTGTTGGAACTGTAACAAATCAGGGAAAAGTCTTCGCTGTTATGGAAAAAGTATCGTGGTAATCTAGTGTGTTTGCGAAGTTATTTACGGAGTCTCCGTCAACATGAGTAAAGTCAGGGGGGTTTCCTTCTGCTGCGAGCACTGCAGAAAAAGAAACTGCATGACGACAATAAATAACTGCATGATCGCTTAAAAAATATCACGGCGAAAAATCACAAATTAAGATCGGAGGTCATCGCTAAAAATTAAATCTAATAGACGATCGTTTTGGTGGCTTATTTGACTAACTGAGGCCATTTTGAAAAATTCTTTATGTCCACAGGCGTTTGAAGTTTAGTAGGGGAAGTATTTTTATACCACTCAATTTCTGGCAAACTTCAATTGTCTGCGCCTGTCTGGATGCCAGACTGCGTCTTTCAGTCCTTTCCGAAGAGTTCATAGAACTGGCTTTCCGTGCGGAGTAACAAAAAGGTTATATAAACAGCCAATTATCCCCTAGCCATTTGGCGGAAGGATGACTGAAATAAAACAGACATTTTCCGAAAACGCTGTCTCAAGGCCGGGCGCAGGTGGCCGCGAGGGATACGATCGCGCCCTTCTGTGTAGTCGAGCAAGGTCATCTGCTTCATAAGAGCGTGGATATGCAGGTTGTCACTTGAAACCAGTTCAAACAAGTTCAGGAGGTTCGGGGCACATTTAAAGCTCATAATGGTTTCGTAGGTATGGATGGGATTATCGCACATCTCTCTGCAGTCTAGGGAAATCCAAGTAATTTCGGTCGGTTGTACTTCACTTGATAACGCGCACGATTTTCATTATCATCGTAACCCTCACCTGATGTCTTTCGGGAAGCTGGTAATCCTTTTTAGACTACGGATGTCAGACCCGTACGGCGTGCACCAAGTAGCTCCGAACACGGACTCCATAGTTCTAACAAATCATTGTCCATTTGACATGTGCAAAGTTCGTTCTCACCACCAATAGCACCTATTTCACTCCTACGACTGCTTTACACAGTTTTGTACGGTTTACGCAGGAAGGGTACTAGAACACCGAGGTTCTTCTGATAATCAGCACTCAATAAAGGACTTTCATGGCGAAGAAATCAGAAAGAATGCCTTTCTTTGATCGATATTCTAGCACGGATTCGTACAATCATGCACTTAACACCACCCATACGTCGAAATAAAAGAACGGACAGCTATGCATTCATTGCGAGCTATTTCGGAGTGTGTGTGTACCTGCACCAGAGCTGATGACTCTATATCGTTCGCGATGGCCAACGAACTTGAATGTGCTGTCCTGTTGGTTTTAAGTCTGTGTCTCGACCCGACGCTTTTAGCTAACGGGACATGCGCAAAATGTCGTCCCTAGCAAAAAATCCTAAAAAGGTGATCCTTAAGCAAATTAATGGGTATCTCATT